TCAAGGTCGCTCTGTGGCTGCAGTTATTGCTACATTTTAGCTTTTTTTGTTTTTAAGGATTTATTTATTTATTTGGAAGACAGAGATACAGAGAAAGAAGGAGGGAGGTAGGGAGGAGGGTGGAAGGGAGAGAGATCTTCCGTCAGCTGGTTCACACCCCAAATGGCCAAAACGGCCTGGCCCAGCCAGTAGCCAAGAGTTTCCTCCTGGTCTCCCATGTGAATGGCAAGGCCCAAGCACTTGAACCATATTCCACTGCTTTCCTGGGCACATTAGCAGGGGCCTGGATCAGAAGTGGAACAGCTGGGACCCAAACCAGCATCCATATGGGATGCTGACACTGCAGGTAGAGGATTAGCCTTGTATACCACAGTGCCTGCTCCAAATGCTACTTTTTAAGACTTATTTATTTATTTCAAAGACAGAGTGACACAGAGAGAGGAGATAGAGAGAGAGAGATAGAAAGGGAGAGAGAAAGAGAGAAAGAATATCTTCCATCTAGTGGTTTACACTCCAAATGGCCTCAAGAGCTGGAACATGTCGCTCCCCCTCTTCGTGGAGGAACGACACTAAACCCTGCCTAGGCTTCATATCCGAGTCACGGCACCATTATGTCGCTCCCCCTCTTCGTGGAGGAACGACACAGGACCCTGCGCTGTTCTTTTGTCTGCTCGGCCCTCCCCGGGTTTGCTGCTGGTTCTTCCCGGGTTGGCTACCATCCCTCCACCTCCGTGGAAGGGCGGTTCCCCCTGCCACTTTCCCCACTTCCACGGGGGAGCGGCACACCGCCGGCCGGCTCTCTCAGGGGCTGCACAGGTGTTCCTTCAGATAGATGTTCCTGGTGCATGTTGTCTCTCTCCTCCTTTATAGTCCTCTTCCACCAGTCCCAACTCTGCTACCCACACGCCGAGTACGCTGCTCTCCTCCAATCAGGAGCAGGTCCTGCTGTTTATTGGTTGAACTGGAGGCAGCTGTGAGAAGCTGTTTCCTCCTCTCCCAGCGCCATATTGTGGGAGAGCAGATGCATAGAATAAGTCTTAATTCCAGTAACTTAGTCTAGTCCGAGTTGCTCCCAGTTGCTCCCCACAGAACAGAGCTAGGCAGAAGCCAGAAGCCAGGAGCCAGGAACTCTACCCAGGTTTCCCACATGGGTGGCAGGGATCCAGGTACTTGAGTCATCTTCCGCTGCCTTCCCAGCACATTAGTAGGGAGCTGGCTGCGAAGAACAGCAGCTTGGACTTGAACCAAAGCTCATATGGGATGATGGCATCGTAGATGGTGGCTTAACCTGCTATGCTGCAACACTGGTCCCTAAAGATTGGTTTTTAATAAATATGTTCTCCAATATCTGACAACAAATTACTCTCAAATTTTATTTGGGACATTCTCCACTGTGACTGTAATGTGAGGACTGGAAATTTAAACAGAAGCCTAAGGCCAAACGCAGCTTCCACCATCCAACGAAGCCATATACTTTTATGCAGATCTTGTCTATTTGCACAGCTTAGATAGAAACATACACACACTTTGGTGAACATGGCATGTGTATTAGTGCCAGTTAAAGTAAATATCGCTGCGAAAAGTGAGTTTATATGTACTCACACAGTCTTAATTCAGTCATGATTGTCTAGTCATGTTGGCTTTTTATCTGCCAAATGGGCATTAACTGTTTTGTGAATACAAGTCCTACCCTAAGACCACTTCTTAAGGTACCTGCATCACATATCAGAGTGCCTGGGTTCACGTCCCAGCTCCCAGCTAATGTGTGCATCCCGGGAAACAGCAGGTGACGGCTCAGTTGGCTGAGGGCCTGCCATCCACATGGGAGACCCAGATAGAGTTCTCAGCTCCCAGCTTTAGCCTGGCCCAGCTCTGGTCACTGTGGGCATTTAGGGAGTGAACCAACAAATGGCAGCTGTATTTGTCTCTCCCTCTCAGATAAATAAATAACTCTTTAAATGTTTTCTTTTCAGAATACTACATTACTCATTTGTTAGATCACAGCTCAGGGAGGGGAAAATCAAGTCTGGTGTGCACCGTGAGCCCCCCGGGCTAGCCAGCACTCACCGGCTAGTGGAAAGGGATCACTGATCACAGCCAGCTGGGAATCACCCTACATGGCTGGCCGTGGTGTTCAGCCACCCACCCACACAGGCTGTCCTCAGACTCCTTGATAAATCAAGACACTTCTCTGCAAAACGCCTGGCAAGAGTTAAGAATATAATGTATAAAATGACCATTTTCCTCTGTGCAAAATGACACCACTTTCCCACTAAGCTCAGCAACGCTGGTCTCTTCTTAAACTAACCACACAGACCAGATCAGCCAACCAAGGGTGCCGCCACTGACTCACCCCGCAGAGCGACGTGCCAGGGGCATGTGAACCAACGCTTCCCTTCGTCCTTCCTCCGAGTTTCAGTTTAAGGTGAGGCCAGAAGGAAAATATTTTTGCTGGTGTTCATCATGCTTAAAATACACACACACACACACACACACACACACCACTAAGCCTCATCGTTTTAAAAAACGACCTGACAACTCTTACAAAGCAGATTAGTACAAGGTAATATTAGTAATAAGAATGAGAGAAATAATAAGAACAATGGCTATGATGGTCAGTCGCTAATGGCATGTGTCCAGTAGCATGCTGCTAACCCCCTCCCCCATAGCAACAGCAAACTGTCACAGCAAATGACCAGGGCATGGTAATATCCCCATTTCCCAGACGAGGAAGCTGGTCCGTGAGGTCCCGGGGCAGGAAAACTTGAGACCTGTGATGGGAACGCAGCATGCTCTCCCAGCAGAGTTCTCACACTTGTCTGGAAAAATCTATTTTTTCCTAGTTTGCTAATTCGATTAAATAAGTAAATGCTTGTCTCAAGATTCATGCTTGAGGGACTGGTTTTTCAAAAGTTAGATGGAATGAATCTTGGGGAAAACGCTCTTGAGAGCGCCGAGTTCCAGCCTGCTCCATCAAATCACCACTGATTACTCGTCTCCCCAAACGCCCGTGGTCTTCTGAGCGGGGTCTGCCCCCAGGCTGCCACCTCCCAGGCTCCGGATGCAGCGGGTGAGCTGCCCGACGGCTCCTCCAGGAGCCCAGACCAGACGCTTCTCTCCTCTGGAGCGGTCCTCTCTTCCCCTCTGGAATCCCTCCCTGTGCCCTGCCTCTGGGAATGGGCATTCGGCACTGAAGACACGGCTAGGCACACCTGCATCCCATCCTGGAGTGCCTGGGTTCAAGTGCTGGCTCTCATGCAGTTTGCTGATAATATGCTCCCTTGGAAGACAGCAAGTGACGGCTACACTGATGGCTCAATCCAGGGACACCTAGACTGAAGTTGGGCTCCTGACTTCAGCCTGGCCCAGTCCCCAGAGTTGTGCACATTGAGGAGTGAACCAGGGGATGCAAGATCTCTCTCTCTCTCTCTCAAATACATAAAATTATTAAAAAAAAAAAAAAAAAAGCCCTTCCCTGCCAGGGAATCACCCTCACCCCATGACACCCATTCCAGAGCGGGTTTCCACCCGGCCACGCCCCCCCCCCCCAGGGTCATCTACTAAAGCACCTCCTTCCCCCAAGTGGCAAGCACACTACCCTTACACAGAAGCGCACAAATCACTCAGCTACCTCCAACCAGCGTCACTGCTGATCTAAATGACCAAGCAGTGCTTGGACAAACCAAATCCAACCATCACCAGACGACAGGTACAAAAATACCCTCAGAGTAGTTTGTCCAAACAGGACACCACCTAAGCGTGCAGCAACTGTACAGCAGACACGCAACGGAATCTCAATAGAGCAGGGAGAGAAAAAAAAATGACATGCAACATCAGGGATGAATTTCACAAATCTAACAAGCAAAATCAGCCGGGTCACAGTCTGCGTGACCCTACTTACCAATTTTACAAAGAGGCAAAATGAGGGACATACTAGAAGTCAGGAGTCAGTTATTCCTGGTGGCGTGGGGAGTGGAGGAGTCCAGGCACTGGGACTGAGCATGCCCACCGTGTGATGGTGATTCCATCAAGCCGTCGGCTCAGCCAGTGCATACCTTCTTCCGTGTTAAGACACTTCAACAACAAGCTGATATAAAGGGATCCATGAACATGGCTGGCCTATTCTGCCTGGCTGGCCTGAGAGTGATTGTTTCCCATGGAGCTCAACCATCTCAAGGTCACAGAGGAACTCCACGTTAGGGCCAGGACTGAACATCAGACCCTCCACTCTGTCCAGGCACGGGAGGGAGCTACCAAGAGTGCCTTCCTAGTTTAGCAGGGTTAGGATCACGTTCCTATGAACATGACCCAGAAAGTTCCAGACTCCTTCTGACACTCATGGCCGAAGAACATTAAACACCACTTGAGGTTTGGCAAGCAAGCAAAACCCAGGCAGCTCTGTGTTCACACTCACAGCCACGTGACCAGCGGCCCGAGCCTTTCCTCTCTCTGACCCTCAGTATCCTGGTCTGGCTCACCAAAATCTTGCCTCCCACTTTGCAAGGCTGCCATGAAGCCAAGGTAATAGCGGCAGGGCAATGTGACAAGCGTTTCGGACACGAGTGCATGGTGACCACTGAATCTCATCCATCACTTGCTTGTCAGAAGCTCAAGGCAGCACAGACATGACTGAGCAAGAGGAATGGGGAAGCTGCCACCTGCCTTCTCCAAGCCTCCTGGGTCACTCGTGGGTCAGCCGGAGCTTCCAGGAGGCATGTTCTTTCTCAGTGCCACAGGAAGACGCGCTCACCGGCTGCCACGACGTGCCCAAGGCCTGAGTCACGTCACTCTGCGAGTTGAGTCACGTCACTCCGAGAGTTCAAAAGTAGCTAAGGTCAGACGGGTCCCAGATGCTCAAGGACTCAGTAGATAGACTGACTCTCTTCAGGTAGCTTTAGGACTGGGGAAAATGTGCACACGCTGAGCAGCCAGGAAAGCTCACTACACACAAGCCTCCACGACGTCAGAAGAGGACAGTGGCAAAGGGTCAGACTACTTACATTTTTAAAAGCAGCAAATTAAATATTGATTTTTTTTCCAGCTCTTCCAACGTTGAATGGACTTAGCAAAGTGATCCGTACAAGTTTGTTTACACTGAAAAAAAAAAAAAGACAATGAAATGACAGATTAAAAATAATTTCAAATTACGGCACACCAGGGGGAGAAAACAAGGTTCTCCATGGCCAATTATTATAGAAGCAAAGAATAGCAAATGAGGTAAGAGGTATAATTAAAAAGAAGCAAATATGTACTAGGGGACTTCAAATAAACCTGTGGCAATGTAATTAAAAGAAAACTTTATTCTGGGGTAAGAAGGGTTGAAATGTGCAGGCAAGAGGCCTTCTGAGAGGTCGGGCAGGACTTCCTGCCACCTGCCCCGCCTCCCACTTCTCCCGTCCTTCTTCCATCTCTTCTTTCCTTCCTCAGTAACTAGACAACCTCAACCAGTACTTAGAGTCTGATTTTCTGCCAGAAGCACCACCATCAGTCTTCTCAGCACAAAGCACCTGGCACATGGCAGGCACTCTGTGACCATTTACTGAGTCAACGAATGAACTATGATTTGACAATGTTAATTGAGGTCAAAAAAAAAAAAAGGAAATGCCTGCAACTAATTTATTATTTTTCTGTCCAGCAGGAACACTATATAGACAACGTGTATGTAGAAACAGCATGTAAAAACACACGCACTGTTTTTCAGACTTGGGTTTCTTTAAATAACTCACACTTCAGAAGAAATTCCCACTAACATATATGGGCACCCTGCTCCGCCATGCTACAATAATAAAATCCATTTGGGTAGTAAGGGAAGAGCTGAAAACAGGCAAAGGGCCTTTTGAAGTGCTCACTCTTCAAGTATCTCAAAACCACCTCCAAGCCAATGAGAAAGCAAGGCGTCCCCAAGGTATAAACAAAAAGACACTGCTACACGTGTCCTTCAAATGCACACACAGTCAAGGCCAGTGCCTAACAAAATTATGACAGAGAGAGCAGCTGTCTCCCTCTTCCAGGTGCCCTTCTGGGGATCCAGGGATGTGGAATCCAGGAGAGAAGCCACAGGATCAGCTCCAAGGTGATAATAACCCACTGGGTAGCCTTCCTTCCTACAGGTATTCAACACTGCAATAAAATGCATGACTGACAGCAGAGTCCCAGGCATAACTGGCGGGTGCAGGCAGTCCGGGAGGAATTTCCCAACACGCCCTCAAGTCACACCAGGAAAGCACTGGTCCATGGTGCCTCTCCTGCAGCCAACTTCACATACCGCCCAGGTACCACCCTCTGGCCACAATCCGACACGTTCTGAGCTGTTAATGATGTACACCGAGGCACTAGGGGGATGTCCAAAGTGAACAGTGAGGTCACCGAGCGGCTGCTAGGAACCTAACCCTACAGTGGCCTCTGAGAACCGAGGCAGGAACGAGGGTCTGTATCTCCCTGGCCAGAGCTGTTTCACTTTGATCTCTTAAGTGTTTCAATGCAAGATTTAGTTAGGGAAGCAGTACCCTCTGCTGCTAAGAATAGGGTTGGTACAGTCAATGCAACCAAATCATAAGTTCCTCAAAAGCAGGTGCAAAAAAATCTCCATGAGCTGACAACACACCAAAATCTAACCACCATCTCTAATAGAGTCTTCAGGGAAAACGTGATGTCCAGTTTCAGGGCCTAGAGCACAGGTCAGCCCAGCCAGGAGGCAGAGCCTGGGCCTTCTCTTCCTTCCTCACTCAGCACCTTCATCCCTGCCCTGGAACAGCGGATCGAACAAAGGACACCTACAGCTCCCCGAGGGTGAACAAGCACCGAGGGGTGGGCTGCGGGTGGGGGAGCCTGCAGAGGCTCCAGAGGTGGCGCTGTGGTTTGGAAATGCTTTGCCACAACTCACACTGAAGCTTCTTCTACCAATGCCCTGCTACTGCAAGACGGCTGAGCCTTTAAGAGGTGAACAGGTGACTGGGCCCTGACCACCTTCTGGAAGGGATTAATGCTGGTCCCGTGGCCCGGGTTAGGTCTCACAGGAGCTTCCATGAGAGCTGACTGTTCTACAAGAACAAGCCCGCTGCCCTCCCTGGTTTCCTCTCCCACCACGGGACTGCTCTCGTTCTCTTTCACACCCATGCCCGCCATGGGGTGCCGTCCACCACGAGGCCATCACCGCAAGCCCAGGTGGGCACCATGCTCTTGGATCACTGAGACCATGAGTCAAAAGCAGCTTCCTTTCCTCATAACTTCACCTGCCTCAGGTACTGTGTTGTAGTAGCAGACAACAGACCAGGATGGACTAGGGAGCTCCAGCAGGAAGTGAGAGCAAGACGCCACGGATGTAAGTCAGCCCATTCCCAGACCCTGCCCCAGTCCATCCCCATCCGCCTGGCTGCAGGACGCACATCTGAGCTCTTGGACAGCAGAGAGAAAGGAGAAACTTAGTGCAAGGGTTTTAAAAGAAGAAAAAATGTATTAATGATCTAGAACACTTAATGCAAAACAGCATGTTCCAAGCCAAAGCTAACTAAAGAAGGAGCACTAGGACAAAGCACATGCTGCCTGAACTTGCTCCAGGACAATCTGCGTGAACTTGAAGCACTGACTCCATCCTATCCCCACCCCCACCCCGCCCCCCGACTCCCAGCACAGGACTCCTGATTCCTTGTCCAACCAGGACTGAACACATTTACAAACATGACCCATTCTATTTTTTCTGTGTTCGTCAGAGGTCTCCTTTAAATGAGTCAAAGATGTTCTTTGTTACCCAGTTCTGGTCGAATGCAAGGGGCTTTACTCACTTCCTCAGGAAGAACGCTCAGCTCTAACTACAGACCAACAACCGCTCACAGACAGGCTGCCTGGCAAGTGCCATGTGAAAACAAGGACGCCTTATTAACCTGCAAAGGCAGCCGTACGAACTCCAAACCTGGGCAGACAGCATTTCTAGAAGAAAAGCCTGCAGTGTTATCCCCGCACAGTCACGGGCAGCTCTGAATCTGACTCAGAAACCTTTGCCATCCCGAGATGGCAGAAGAAGAAAAAACACAGTGGATATTTGTGTCCGTTTAACAAAATAAACCCTTATAGCATCTTGCTCACTCTGGGTTTCAAATTCCAATAAAACCCTCCAAGTGACTTCGACAGATTCCTTTGAGACAGAAAACACATTTATTACTATTGCTCATTTTCCAAATCCCCTTGCTAGTCTAAAGGATGACCATCTACACAGAGAGTACCATGTTAAACAAAATCATTAGGAAGTGATGGGACTGTGTCTAAGAATGCACATTTCATGCTTTCAACGACATGAAAATCAAGCCTCTTGTAGATCATCTCAGTGTCTGAAGCCGACTCCTTAAGGCTGCATTTATCTTGTAAATAAAATGCAGCCACGCCCATCCACTCACACACTGTGGACACTGTGACAGACCTGGGCAGCAGCAGCCAGAGACCCAGGGTCAACCAAGGACAAAATGTGTACTACCTGACCCTTTCAAATACATTTGCTGACCTCTGCTTGAACGGAGGACCAAGTCTTGAAATAAAAACTGCTCACTCACCCTGTTTTAATCATACTCCTGGATAACAACCTAAGTCACTTAACCTTTAGCTGCTTTAATTTTTTCATGTATTTATTTATTTTTATTTTTTGTTTATATATTTGAGAGGCAGAGAGTCCGAAATCTCCCATCTGCTAGTTCAACTCCCCAAATGCCCACACAGGTGAGGCCAAAGCCAGGGAGCCATTAGCTCAGTGCAGGTCTCCCACATGGGTGGCAGGAACCCAATCAGCTGAACCCCACCACTGCTCCCCAGGGTCTGGATTAGCAGAAATCCAGAGTCAAGAGCTACAGCCAGAACTTGCACCCAGGCACTCGGACATGAGACATGGGCAGCCTCCTCTTCCTCTTAACTGCTAGACCAAACACCAGCCCCTAATCTCACTTCCGATACACTAATCGCCAATATTCACTGGGAACGTTGACGCCTGACACTAACTTAAAGGCCTTTCTTCTAGACGATCAATAATGAAATGAGTTTAACACTGAATGAGACCCCACGTGCAAAGGAAAATGTCCCCACTGCACAAATGAGGAAGGTCAGGCAGAGGAGTCATGTCACCTGCCTGGGGTTACGGAGTAGGAGAGCCAGGGCCAGAGACGAGGCCACCCGGCTCCACGGCTGGTATCACACAAACTCTACCTAAGTCTCAAAGGTTGGTTAGGTAAACAGAGTGGAGCACACTTCTGCACAGCTTAGGGCAAGGGTCCTCTAAACAGGAATACAGAATGGACTTCGTAGACACTGAAGTCCAGTCTCAGATGAAAGCTGACCTGCGAACACTGGGAGGTACAAGCCCATCCTCACCTTTATTCTGATCATAAGCAATCAAAGATCCCAACTCGCTGGCAACATCCACCTTTCCTTGCTAAGTAAGGCCTCTCTAAGCACGTCAGGCCTCCAGCATGAAGAAGAGAGACCCGACATCATCCAGATTTATTCCCATCTAGTCTTATCCTCCACTGAGTTTCCATCTGGGAAAAAAGCTAAATAAACATCAACAGGAATTATGGAAAGATTGGCCCGGCAAGAAGGACTCAACCCAGACACAACTATTATCACATGTCCAGGAAAAAAATCCCTTTGCTGAATCACCCCACACTTCCTGAAGTTCCCTGGACTCTCTGGAGGAAATGTGTCATCTACATGTCACCCAGTGCCCTTCTGTACTGAAAAACAGGTTGATGCAGCTCCAGATGGACAGGGAGAGAATACACTATTAAAATACCTATCACCAGTTCATGTGCAGCCAGAGACGCTCTGAGTCACCTCTCTACAATTCATTTATTTTATTTATTTGAAAGGCAAAGAGACAAAGACAGGCTGAGAAAGTTCTTCCAACCACTGATGCATTCCCCAAATGTTTGCAACAGTTGAGACGTGGCCAGGCTGAAGTTGAGAGTCAGGAACTCCATTGGGGTCTCCCATGTGGGTAGCAGGAACCCGACTACTTGGGCCATCACGTGCTGCCTCCCAGACTGTGTTTCAGAAAGAAGCTGGAAGCAGCTGTGGAGCCAGGACTCGAACCCAGGCACTCCAACACAGGACCT